AAAAATAGAAGCCTTCAATTGGAAAAAAATGTTGACTCACCAAACCAAACCATTCCTAGTAAAAAACCAATCTATTTTACACAAATATCTAGCTTAAAAAAAAAAAAAAAAAAAGGGAGAGAAAAAAAGAAAAAGTAATTTGAAACTGATGGAGATACCTGAAAAGGATAGTTTAGAAATCAAAGATTGGGAGTTTCAGTGTTATTGTCATACTTCAAAATCTGAATATCAAAATACTCATAGGGATAATTAGGAATAATTTTTAAAAATTATTTCAGAACACTGAAATCAAATGTTTTGGTTTCAAAAATGGATAAATATTGTCCAAAAGTAATTCAAAATCTTAACTTTTAGTTGCTGTTCATGGAAAATATTCTCCAAAATTTCAGTAATGCTGATAGAAAAAAATCCTTAACTTTCTACCCAAACTTAATACTAAATTTTTAACCAAAAAAGATCATATACATGGAAGAAGATAGGATGAAGGACATCCCTCATCCAAGAACAGGAGATCTCCAGACAATTTGCTAGGCAGATTTTCCCATCAGTACCTAACCCTTCTTGTTAGAGTTCTTTGTTCTCTGCCTAACAGAAGAGATGAACTGGAGCTGCCTGGTCTCTCCACAATCTTCCTAGGTCTAGGCAGAGCTGTTTATCCTATTTTACACCAGCTAGGACACACATGTGGCAGCTGGGAATTTTGCAATTCTTTTCACTTAACTTCTATTGTCTCTGACATGATTCATGCACTAGGGCTACAGGGAAAAATACAGAAATTATATCTAATATATTATATTCAGCTTTGAGAGTTTCAAAAAAAAAATCAGCTCCTTCTGCAGTTGGAGAGCAGAGGAAAGGGAGCAGGAAAGTGTGACTAACTGTTCTTGAATATACAAGAGATGTGGACCAGAAAAGGAGCTGTGTTGCTGTGGCTGGGGAGTTCACAGATCTGTGATTCACAGCATTACAGGGCCTATTTGGTATGCAAAAAGAGATGATGATGAAAGGAATAGTTAGTCATGGAGAAAAAACTAGACAGAACACACAAAGATGCTAACCCCTGGGAAAGGAGCATATTCAAGTGTGATCCACAGCCTGAGAAAGAGAATGGTCTTTTTTTCTTTATTTTCCCCAAAATACCTTCTTCTTTTGGTAGGTAGAGCGCTCAAAGGAGTGTCCTACATTCCAGCCTTGAAAGGACACCATGAACTCAAGCCTACCTCAATCCAAGTGGATGGTACACTATTCTTCAAGCTTTTGCTAAAACCAGACAGCCGTATTCTCTCATGACCATGCTTCTTTTCTCCTCTCAATTTACAAAGTATTATTACAGGCAGGCAAAAGAGGAAAGAAGGCCATGCTGGCCATGCTGCTGGAGCACACAGCGCACAATTCCTCTGCATGGAATTGCTGAAATCACCCCTGTGGAAATGCTTGCAGATAGGTTGTGTTTCTCTTAAACTTTCACCTCCCTGGAAACAGTCGTGTTCAAAGTAGGGATGAAGGGGAATGATTTGCCTCAGGGATCCCCTTGCCGGCTCATGTGATTGCTGTTGAAAATGGTCTGGATCTAAAAGACCACAAAGGCGTTTGATGTTCCTCATATATATCCTTCAGCAAAAGAGCTGGGAGAACAGTCAGTGCTCTTGTGCGTGTGCGTTTGCATTTCCAATAACACACATGAAACAAGCTGTGCCCTGCCTGCTTGGAACAAGCTCTATCCTGCCTTGATGTGCCCATGCCACATCTCCTCCACTGCTCTCTCTGTGTGTGTGAAGAGGAGGGGCAGGAAGAGGGAGAAATGGCATTCATGGGGAAGAGATAGGAGAGGGGTAGGGGAAAATATGAGAGGAAGATAAATGGAGAGGAGGAGATAAATTGGTGGGTAGAAATAAGACAGTCTCAAAGAAAAAAAATAAATAGGGAGGGAAAAGGCAATTTAATCAAAAAATGCTCAAAAGACACAGATGAAGAAGCAGGCAAGCATGAAGAAAAAGACCACGAAGGAAGGAAAATAATGCAAAATGCAAAAAGACAAAATTAAATTATCCATCCTATTGAAAAGAGCTAACCAGAGCAACATGGTATAAATCAGGTTGGGAAAATGTCAGGAAACAAACTAAAAAGGAAGCATGGGGGACAGTAACACCAGCTTCATTTGACACTGTTCATGGGACACGCCTTCCAACAATTATTTGTTCTGCAGTTGCCCTGTGGTCTCTGATATGGATGATGGCTGGTTTCAGATCAGGTCTCTCAGCAGCAAGTACAAGCAATGAGGAGAAATGGGTGGGAGAAGGATTCCACAGAAAAGTCTGTGGTAAAGCAGAGACCTGAATCTTAGTTTAGTATCTCCTCTAAGGCAAGACAATTCTTCTGCTCTTCCTTCTCTGCCATGCTTGATGGATGAATCCCTGCTCCATTACTGTCACTCACCTCCAGTCAGGACACTAGCCCTACTAGCACCTAGGAATAATGGGACAAGAGGGTGGTAAACAATTCAGCCTGCTCAAGCAGTCATTTCCCCAGCACAGAGTACATCCCCTTTTCACCAATAATGACTCCAGATGGTTTTTGCTGCTTTCCTGCTAGGTTAGGACTACCAGCCAATCTGGGAACTTACACCCAAGTTGCAAAATGAATTATGGCCAACGGGTGCAACTCAAAATAAAGAAGGAAAAAAAAAAGAGTAGAGAATTTTTAGAATGGTTTCCCATTCACACAAGCACCAAAAATGAGATATGGCATCACCAGGAAACTGTTCACCATGGGTGTCTTTACCACATGCATTAAATCTGATGAATGTTGCTCTGAATCACCAGGCATCTCCAGGGCCCCATGGAGCAGGAAATGCCTGGCTCTGATACCCCCCAGCAGTGCTCCTGCTAACCCCCTGCTCATGCTGCAGGGACACACTCAAACACACAAGTGATCTCACTGGTTTTTGCAGCACTAATTATGATGATGTCAAACTATTTGCCTGTGTGGGGGCTGATTGGCAATTAGGCTAAAAAAAAACCCAACCCAGGAGCATCTTTTTACACCTGAACCAAGGAAAGGTTTGGACTGAATTTACAGCCCACTCTGGGTTTCACCAGAGTGCATATGTACAGGCACCACTGCTACCTCTGAATGATTCAGAGCATCTGTGTGGGAACGAGCAGGCAAAACCAGTCAATAGTCTGTCATCTTTTATGGCCCTCCTTACATCAATAATGTTGAAAGGTAAAGGACACAAAAGCTGCAGGTAAATCTCGCTGGTATATTATTATTCTTTATGTCAGACTAGTCATGTTCTTGCTCAATCATAACTTTCCAAACTGAAACATTTCTGGTTCCTTTAAACTATGAGTTAATAACGACAAATTAAAGATAGGGATGATCCTAAATTAAAGAGACACAGTACAAGGCCTTGCTATAATCAAGGAAACTACTGTTATCTAGAGACACAGAACAGTCATATTTAATTCTGCATTCCACACTTTAGTCCAAAGAAATACTAATCCCCTTAGCCCCCTTGCATGGTGCCATCCAGCACATGGCCATCAGAAACAATGACTACACACATCAAGTGAAGAGTAAGGGTAATTTCCTGAGGTTGTTTTACAAGCAAGAGATTAAATTGTGACTACCCTGCAGAGGTTTAAACAATGGCTTGTAATAAAACTGATGCCATAATATGTAACCAAAAGTTTGACATGCCTAATGCAGCATTCATATGTAAAAGGTCTGCAGCGGAAAAAGCCCAGCCCTGTAATTTCAGTCTTTGTTCAGAAATGAAACCTTGGGCCAGGTACCTCTGATCACCTGCTGAAGTCCCTGTCAAAGGATGGGGACAGTCTGTGGCCATGGAAATGCCACAGACTGGCTCCATGCAGGCAGGCAGAAGCTCTCTGGAGCCCAGGAGAAGGCAGGCTCTGCTTGAGCCTGTTAGTAAGCACGTCATTGCCACGCATGACTGCATGGGGACATTTTCAAATTTATCTCAGTTATCTGCCTGTTTCTCTGCTTACTAAACCACCCCATGTCGTTCCTGTATGACATCAGAGACATTTACCACACCATTTGATGTCTTCCTAATGCTAGAAATACCCCACAGACATTCATCCAGTTTTCCTAAATGAAAGCAGGAGGTCAGAAGTCATGCATGCATTTAAGCCAATTTTACTGTATTAAAAACCCAGGGTGGGTTTGGGTTAGGGTTTGGGTCTCCATGAGCTCTCGGGGAAGCACACCGTCACGAGCCAGGGTGCAGCAGTGGATGGCCAGGCTGGTGTGACAGGGCAGGGACCGCAGGGCTGGGACAGGACAGGCAGGGTGACGCAGCCTAGGGCCGGGGGTGGCTGGGGGATGATGGAGAAGGGCTGTGATGGGGCGGGACTGGGATGTCAGAGCGGAGCAGGACAAGGAGAGGGCTGGAGGCAGAGGGAGCTGCGGGCAGGGCAGGAGCAGCAGAGGGCCGGCACTGCAGCTGTGCGAGGCAGCTGGGCAGCAAGGGCGAGCTGCCCCCGGAGCCCCGGCAGCATCCCTGCTCGATGCAGCCACAGGCGGCTGTCTGAGCTCATCTGAGCGCTCCGTGCAGGCATCCTCTCGGGGACGAGCTCTATTAGCACCCATCCAAGCCATTTCAAAACATCCCGGCTACGGAGCATCCCTCCCTGGTTAGGTAGCGGCGAGTCCAGGTGCCGCACGCACCATGAGCATCACCGCAGAATAAGCATCGGAAAGCAAAGTGAGGTTTGCCAAGTCCAGAATAAAAGAGGCCATTCAGAATTTATAAATTGTTGGTACCTTTGGCTCAAGGCTGCAAGCTTTGATCAAATGTTAAATATATTAAGCAAGTGCTTGAGAAGCACCATAAATTTTGTTTCAAAAAAAAAAAGGTAACAAAACCCCATCTCATAGTCAGTAACAATTCTTCATAGTCAATAACAATTCTCTTGTATTTTAATCTGCACAGGATTACTACAGATCAGCGAATACCAAAAAGGGATCGGTACCTGCTTTGTAAGTCGTTTAGGTGCAATTTGCCTACATAATGGGTGGCTGATGAGACAGTGATGATCCTAGCGCTGTGACTGTGCGTTCCTGATTGCTTCAGCGTATCCAAGAGGAGGTTAGTCAACAGGAAGTGTCCCAAGTAGTTCAAGCCGAAGTGCTCCTCAAACCCATCCTCCGTCTTCCTTTCAGGGACCAGCATCACCCCAGCTGGAGGAAAAAGTAGAGGTAAAACCTGTTGATTTATTTCAGAGGAGCAGCAATCTAGAAAGAGCACGGGTCTCCTGCTGCAGAGGGCAAACACAGCATTCTGAGCAGTGAGTGACTGGTGATAGCATGTAAAGTCGACACTGATTGATTCCTGACAAGAAAAATGTCTGAACCCTCACTTTGGTTTCTTTATCCAGAAAATGTGCTGATTGACTCTCTCTCTCCCTCCCTGCAGGACTGTGAGTCCATTTGTGAAAAGTGTTTTCAAGAGGTGGAAGCTGGGCAATCCCAACAACATTCCCTCCATCAAAGCTCTGAGCAGTGGAGACAAGACCAGGCTAGGCAGCAGACCTGCTCTCCCAGACAGCTTTCTCCTGGTCCTGGCTGGAGTTGAAAGTTCTGGTGAGTCTACATCTGAAATCTGCAACTTCTCTCTCACTGGTGTGGCTGAGAACAGATGTAGTAAATTTACCCAATATATCTTAATTACCATGCTTACAAGCAGCTGCATACTGAAATTAGGTTTTCAATTCTTATTTTGGCAATATTTTTGCATAAATTTCCACAAACCACAATTTTCAAACTCAGTGTCTAAAATAAGTATCCACATCCCCATCATGTGATGTTGATTTCAGCATCTTGCAGAGAATTCTGAGCTCATGCATAAATTATATCCTGTGTGAGGCTGTGTGAGGGATAGTTACCCTGCTCAGTTATAACATTAACTGGAATGTTATAAATTTTTCTTATTTTGTTAAAATTAAATTACTGTACAAGTAGACATGGACTTCATCATTTAAATGTAGATGGACACAACTCATGGAGGAGAATCCTGTTATAGGATGCTTCTGTCTAACACCCATAAACATGATACAGCAGAAAGGCCACTCCTGCACACAACACATGACAGAGCGTCAGCTTAATCCTCATGCTACTTCATGTGCCCACTAAAAAGACTTCAACATCCCATTTCCTGATGTTAGCCTGATCTGATGATTGCACACTAAATGACCATTTTAAATTGCACGTGCTGTGCATCTACATCACTTGTTTTGGGGGTTCCTGCCACCTGACATTCCTGCTTTGTTGCTGTCTCTTAGGCTGAAAGAGAGATACTTTTGGAATCTTTTTTAGTATGGCAAACAGCCATAGGGATTCACCTGTGGCTTCCTGCCATTTAATATAACAACTGGAGAAGCAGTGGGAGGGGAAGAAACTCAAGAAGGACACAGAGAAAACAAAATGTTTGGATGGACCACAGCATACTTGCAAATGGAGGACTTAAGACTGGACATGAGCGATGCTGACCAGTGGCACAGTGAAAGAAACACAACACAAATTATATTATGAGGCTCCACAAAAGCTTTGATTAGCATGTCCCTATGTGATTTACTACTGTAAACTGTGTATAATCACATCTGTAAGTGGCTGGGACTGAGAACTGCCATGAAGGTTATGGACAGATGCAAATGAGAGACAAGCCCAGCTGTGACTTTTTCTTGTTTTCTGGGAAGAAGGAAAGGATGGGAATGGCTTGGGGATAAAACAAACCCCAGGCTCCCAGACTAAGTCACAGCCTGCTACAGCGCAAGTTTCAGCACAGACAGAGATCAGCATGAGCTGTAGGAGGGCACATGGAAACATTGCTGCATCTCTGACACCAGGCCTAGTAAAAGGAAATTGTTTGCATATCTCTGAGGCCATCCTGCCCTCCAAAGCTCTGACACTTGGAAAAGGCGAAAGGCAGCAATCTGCCAGAGTTCTGTTGGCAGCAACACTGGTAAAATACAAGCCCGAGAAAGGCAGCCAATATAAAAGAGCCCCAGCAAGCACGGCTGATCTGCACGGCAAATGCTGCTTCTGCATCTGCTGGGATTGCTGCAGGGCTCAGTACAGGACCCCTCCATGCACAGACACACTTGTGTTGGTTGGGTCAGATGGAGGGATGGAGAAATTTGTCCTGTGTGTTAGGCAGAAGTGTGTTGGACAGCTGCTGCACCGTGAGCAGCAGGCAGGCCCAGGGAGCTGCCGTCGCTCACATTAGCCCCGAGGATGCCTGTGCCTCTGCAACCTCACCCCCGACCTCCAGAGAGGCACAGGATTTCAACAACACAGAGAGGCTTTGCCCTCCACCCCAATTAGTCTCCACCATCTGTGCTGTGCATCCTGGAAGCAAAAAAAAATAGATCTGAGCTCAGGTCAGGAGACAGAAAAAATTTTCATTTACGCAATGCACAACCATAAAGATACACGCTCTCCAATATTCTTTTGCTCATTCTTCAAGAGTATCCCCTGAGTAGAAATTCTGGTCAAGTCCTTGAGCGGACACAATCACCCCTGCCTCAATCTGATTCTATTACAATTCCCTTTCTGTCTTCAACAGCTGCTCAAATAATGTTAAGCCAAAACACCTTTGAATGACTTGTTCTGTTTTTTAAAGGCTCCCATCTTTCAGGTAGTTCATATCAAGGCTGTCAAAAAATCTTGCCCTGTAGTCTGAGGGCAGTTTCTCTTATTTGAGGAAAAAACATTTTTAATTTACAAAAAGTGAGCATACAAAGAAATACCCAACAGGCAACTGAACCTGTCTCCTTCCTTAACAAAAGGGAAAACCTTGTAAGTGTAGCAGCAAGCTCTCTTTCTTAAATTATTAACTACCTAACATTCAGTAGATACTAAAAGCGGCTTGCTATTGATTTCTCTTATCCAGAAACATCATCAGCTTTACTTAAGGGTCCCAAATGCTAACTCAAAAATGAAAGCTGGTTCTACTTTTAATTCTTTAGATTAATCCAATACTACTTGAAACATTAACAAATGCCTTGTCTTTTCATTGTAAATTAATAATGACTGTGCTTTTTCTTCCAATATGGAATCCACACAACTCAGTATCTTTCTGATTTTAATTATCAACAGTCAGCCTTATAATTTTTTTCAGAGTGTATGTGAAATTTGAAGAGGCAGCACACAAACCATAAATGCCAAACACCTCAGATCTGATATAACCTTCTTATATGTTTTTCCCCTTGATTTAGCTGCATTGTGTCCAGAAGACACTGATAACATCATGGCATAAGAAAATGAATTAATAAGTAAACTGAACATAAGCTTCTACTTTGTAATTGATTAGCTGTTGCTGAAATATTCCAGTAAAAAGACTGATAGTATGGGAATAAAAAACTGACTAAATAAAACATGGATGTGTGATTTTGCAGAGGTAGTAATAAATTAGAATAAGGAAAATATTTTTCTGCAAAACTATGCTGAACAACTGTTCTTATAGATATAGCTATACATTCCAGTGTGCTGCAACTCTGCATTAATTGTAATATGTTCAAATTATACACATTTTTCATTTGCTTTAATGAATAACAAAAAATATATTCTTTTTTAATTCTATGACTAGGCAATCAATAAACATATTTCTCACTCAAAGAATGAATATACTTCAAGAGAGCTGTCTTTGTAACTAGGAATGTATGATGATTTTCTGTAAAAGTTTGTAATGAAACTTGGTTTCTGATCCATCTTATGTAATTTAAAGAACAAAATGGATCTGACACTGCATGCAGCATAACAAAAAAATTTATGATAGTTATAAATATTATAGGCCAGACAAACCCCATTTTTATTGAATTATACAGGAAAATTTGCACTATGCCTGCTTGTACTGCAGATGATGACAAATATTGCTCTAACTCCCATACCTCCCACTGCAAAGTCATCCTCCATCTCCATTATAAAATGTGTTTTAAGAGCTGTAAAAATACAAGTATTTCACTCATCTGGATTTATTTACAGTGAGCTGCTTGGAGGTTTTTAAAGTCAGTTCTCTCAAACTCACTACAAAAGAAAAATTTAAAATCTCTTTTTCACATACAGAACAAAATGTCTGCTTTCCCAGCCAGGCCCACAGAAGAGGGTTTGGAGGCAGATCCCCCTCAGACAAGTTCTTTTATCTCCAGACAGCCAAAGGCTGGGCAGATAAAGCAATAGGTCAGCCACAAACACACATAACACCTTCACAGCAGGAGGGGAACCTCTATAATCACATTCACCCAATTCTTGCTATTTACAAGGAAGAGATACACACTGTACCAAACATGTTCCCAAGGGGAATACTTAGGAGACAGTTACTTCCAGTAAAAGCACAAAGCCCTTCCTCCATACAGGCTTTGCCCTGTCTTAGCTGATGCCTTCAGCAGCATTTCCAACCCCACGAGTGCAGCCACACAGGGAAACCCACCCCCACTTCACAGAATGTCAAAACTGCTCTGTTCCGCACACCCATGCAACAAAACACCTCTGGGCGTTCCTACATGTAGAATGCATGGCCCACCTCTCACCTGAAGAGGAGAACCATACAGCAGCATGCCCTGGCCAGGCTGCCTGTAGCAGATTGCTTGTTCCACCTTGTTCCATTGGGCTGTGCAACCCCAGACTATGCCTGCCCTGTGCATCTCTCCTGGCTAGTGAGCAACAAGAGCATGCAATGCCTTAGTGTAAGAATTGCCCCAGAAGGGCTCAATGGAGGCACAGCTGTGCCCACATGACTGCTTCTTACAGGTGCTGCTTCTTCCTGCCTTGTCTGGGCTGAAGAGCAGTGAATTTACAGCACTGCTCTAGAAGCTGTGACATGGCTACTTGTAGGGGGATAGAACATAAGTAAATAAAGGTAGTATGGAAAGCAATCTTACCCCTAAAGACTTGCAGCTGGGTTAATAATTAAGGATTAGGAGCCGGTCTGACTGTAACAGGCCACAGCTGTAGCCAATAAGATGAAGAGTGTTATAAAAGGATGGATTGGGTTGTTGAGTGGAACTGGAGTTAGTTGGCTGCTGTGAAGATGAGGCAGTGCTTAGAGGAGCTGCCTACAAGAATCATCAAAGAGGTATTAAACTCTAGCAGTATAGAACCCTTGCAATGTACTGATAATAGAACTTCTGCAATATAATGACAAGAGAAGTCTTTCAATCAAAAAATTCAAATGTTTTGCAATC